TTCCACTTAGCTTTTATCATTTGATTTGAAGGTAATCGAGTACATATGTAGAAATGGCATGCAACTCTAGAGGTAAGTGTGGGTAAAGGAGGGAAAGGACCTGGTTTCATTTAAGCAGCTGTAAGTACCGTATTTTAGTAAGTTCTTGTCACGATCAGAAAGCATGTTTACTGTATCGTACCATTGATAAAAACTCACATCTATACCGTGTAAGGTGTCGATGTCAATGTTTAAACAATGACTGATATATAATCAGGCTTTTCGGGCTTTACCTCGCTTGGAAACACACTTTGGTTTCATCATCAGGCTATTGTTTTACTGCGGCTCTCAAGTATAGGATTCTGGGTGGAGGCTGACTTTGCAAGTTCAGTTCAGTTAAGTGTAGGGATGAGCAGCTGGCTACTGTGACACATTAAGGCAATCAAAATGCGCATGGTTCTGGATGATGTGGTTTCGACGTCAGATCTGACATGAAATCTGTCCTTTTGGAACACTTCACCAAAACTCCTGAAAACCAAACTTCAAAAAGGCATCAGAATCGCAATCGGAATCCAAGGAAAGAAGCCAGCTAGACCAATGCATCTACCTTCAATGAATCAATCATTCAACAAACCAACTTACCAACCGCTGATTGAAGAGTCCATATACGGTAATCAGTGGGTGCAGTAAGATTAAATATGATATACAATATATCACACCTCTGTGCAGAAGATATTCATTGCACTATATTGCAGGATACTCTGTGACTGTTTGGGTTTGAAACGACGCGAGGATCCTAATATAGCTATTTTTCTGTATTCTTTCCTGATATTTGCAAACAATGGACAAACAAGCAAAACGTTGGATTCATATTCCATTTTGTGGCAAGTACTCAAAATACACAATTGGTTTTCCGTATATATTACTATACTAGCCACATAAAGAAACTGTGCACACAGAAAATGCCTTCATAATTGGAATACAAAACAGCAAATACGAAATGATGTAGACACGTTATTAGCTGAAGTATCTGACCACAAAAAAATGTCAAAAGAACATGAACAATATCCGTAACGATGACGTCAGAAGTTCAAATCGAGTAGGAGGTCACACGTCGAAATCATGACGGATATGACCACCGTGTGCGTGAAGCACAGCAGTGCATCGAAGACGCATAGAGGCTAGCAAATGAGCATTGAAGGACTGGGGAATGGTCTGGGACGTGGTCACTGCTGTCTGGAACCTGTATCTGAGATGAGTCACCCGAATCCATCTGTCCTGTCTTGGCGTCGTTACGTCGGGAACGCCCAGAACGTAGGTGGTCGGCGACGTCATTACTGTTTCGATAACGCCTGACCCATGCAGATATCGTGTTATGATGGCATTGGAAATGTGCTGCCACCTGTTGTTGGCTCATTCCTGCTCGAACCATTCCAATGGCTTCATGACGTTGAGCAGATGTTAATCTTGGCATGATGTGCATGTGACTTCTCATGTGAATTTGTGAACGTTTGAATGACCAAAGATCAAGCTTCCGACAGTGACAGCAATTTCAGAGTTTCATCTGTACGGGCTGCACGTGCAGTATCACATTGCAAGGCCTTAGGCCACCGTCAATGACGTCACGTCGCCTGGCACGTGCATAAGCCTTTGATTGTCTCCAATAATTGCTATGTTCACAAATATATTTATGTATAAATACGTTGTGTGCCTATATTTATTTTTCTGAGGGCACAATTTCTTTATGTGGCCAGTATATTTACCTGTTTCTGTTTGAAGATCGATCAAGGGAACTATATTCCAAAAGAGATTGTGCTGCTAGATTTTTGTTAGCAAGAATGAATGAATGATTAAAAATGTGATATGTCGCGTATACCAAAACAGTCAATTAATGTAGTGATGCTTAAAAATAATGGTTATGTGGATGCTTTGTCTGTGGACATAACTTCAAAGTTTAAGCGTGATAGGAACTGTGTTTCTCTGTATGCATTTGTTGCAATGACAATGACACTGGCTTGGCCAACTCTAAATACATTCCAAAGGCTCCACGCTACTTTTGGCCAATTTTCGGGATATTAGTTTTCGGCGGCATACCAAATGATTTTAAAATTGTAATCCCCATCGGTGGAGGCTGTTCCTGGTATTTTGATCCATAGTTGAACGACTGAAAAAGTTTTTATTGTTAATGATGTAGGCGCATTTTGAGGGATATTTGGTTTGGGTGACATTGATACTGACGTTAAAATTTTGATCGCAGTAGGTGGAGGCTGCTCACCGTATTTTGAGACAAATTTTGAATAGCGGAAGAAGATGTTTATTGTTAATGATGTAGGCGCATCTTGAGGGATATTTGGTTTTGGTGACATTGATACTGACGTTAAAATTTTGATCCCAGTAGGTGGAGGCTGCTCACCCTATTTAGAGCCAAATTTTGAATAGCGGAAGAAGATTTTTATTGTTAATGATATAGAGTTATTAAAAGGCTCGTCGGTTCGTAGCAGTGTGATGAGTCTTGGTAGACACAAGTAGTGACATTTACACCATGAGCTGCTCAATCTGGATACAGTTTGTGTTCGTATAGGAAAAGGACATTTAATTAACTCTGAGATATTTTGAGACTTTGTTGAAACTGATTGTTTATACCCGAATGTTAAGTAAATGTAAGGCAGACTTGCAATTTTCAAATTCAGGACCATGCAGTGTTCGTCTGTGTCTGGCTTAGCGAAACGTTTCGAAGCTATATCAAGAACTATACTTTCTAGTCGATACTGTTCGCTGTTACTGTGTCCAGACACAAGTTTCTGGAACAAAATTCAAGGACACAAAGTATTGTCTTGTTCAAGCTTATTCTTGCATGCTGAGGGGCAGCAAATCTTCCAAATGAATGGTTTCATTTGGCCTTGGTCCATGACTGTGTCGTCGTCAACGTCTTGTATTGTGTTACTGCATCCATTTAATATCAAATCTAGTTATCTTTTACACTTTTCTGTTATGTTGACTGCATACAATTAACGAAGTTGTACAATTGACACTTGTTTTCTTAAATTTTACAAATCAACAGGAATAATTACAAAGGAATTGCAATGATAGTAATGGGACGAGAGACAACACAAATACAATGGCAATATAGCCAAAAACAGTCACATTAGCAAGAAACACAATTATGATATTCACCTAGCCTGGTAAAGCAGCGATCAAGCTTGACAAAATAGGCCGAGGGTGGGAATACTGGGTAAAATTGATCTGGGATGACACTTAACACAAACAATGTAGCACAATTACAGCATTGTTTTACACTGAACTACACTGCCACATAAAAGTTACCCGAACATGGTATCGGTTGTTCACAAAATTAAGATAATTATATTAATGTAATTCAGAATGTTTTCGTCCTCCTGAGAGGGTACGTAAGTCCCAAAACATTTGATCTAAATGTAAGTCTACCAGGTTTTTCATCGTAGTATTTTTGTCAATTCAATGTATGGCTAAGTCTCAGCATAAACGCCAACGGCTGAAGGGATGGTGTAAATACATAGAGAATACTACACTCGGTCTCATTACATACAAATTATACGAAACGAGTGTCCTTCCTATGGTATCTGACCGAGGTCAGAAACCATAGGAAGGTCACGAGTTTCGTATAATTCGTATGTAATGAGACCGAGTGTGGTATTATATTTATTACCCACTTCTTACATGCATTAAATTGACAAAATAGCGTATTTTTGTTATTGTTATGGTTTTAAACCGAAACCGGTTTCATAAAGAGGTTGCGGGAGAATTTTGTTCTGTAGTACACTTTTTCATGACGTCACACTGTATTGACGTCACTACGCCATTCTCGTCTATCCCCTTGGTAACCGACGTCACGATGCATGTCAGTTGTCCTCGCCTCCCGTACAGCCTCCTAAAGTAAACTATTCCGTAGCACCCCGTTTCTTGGTTTGCAACTGCTTCACTCGGCTAACATCACTGGTGGAAACATTGCGTTTATGTATTTCGACGGATATAATGTCTTAGTTCGACTCACAATTAAACAACGACACGGGAACGTTCGCAATGATTACATTCCCACTATGCAAATAGTTGTACAATGAATGAATTCACGTGTTTGTTGTGAATGAACACGTAGTTCCGTCACAACGTGACCTAACTGAGAGGTCATCGGTTATCGAATCAAATCGTTAGAATCTCAGGTCAAGTCGTTACGACACAGGTCAACACGATACGACAACTCGTGGGACGTACGAGATTAGTATGCAACTACCCATACGTTGACCACGTGGGTAATAAAGCTAGGGTCCATGCAGGTAGCAAAAGTAATGTAAGTCCCCATGGACCCTAGTATGGTGATCTACCTTCAGTTGTTGCGATAAATAGCCCATTTGTACATTGTATTGTCCAAAAATAGTTTTCTACTTTTAAAACTTTTTGCTAGCTAGTTTTAAATCATTAATCTAGTACTTTTACTGTCCGTCGTTGACAGGGTTTAATATATTATATGTATGTATTCTTCAGTTAGAACTAGTTTTAGTCACGATATGGCTGAAATATGGCCGATGTGAATTTAAATCACTCAGAATGTTTTCATGTAGGTTGTTACATTGTCAGCATTATCAATAACAAACAAACCATTCAGAATAATTTCATTTATTCACTTTCATCGGTTTACGTTACTACCAAGTTATTTTACTTTTAGGGTGCATCCTCCGCGTAAACAAAATGGTGTTTTGATTCTGGAAAGGTCAGGGTTTGCAAGACAAACTTAAAAGCGATAGATAAACTCTATGCAAATGTCAGAAAGATTTCAACGATATGTGTTTTCTTGGCATATTGGCATGTGAGTGAGTTGACATTTTATATCGCATCGGCAATATTGCAACCATATAGCAATGAGAAATAGTTACTTTTGGGGGTGATATTGGATAAATTTTCTGTACAAATATGCAGAATTTAGTTAACTAGTTATGAATCTAATTCTAAATCTGTCACGTGTGTTTTTTGTTACGGACATGCTGCAAATGTACAACCAGTTTACCAACTGAGCAATAAACCATTTTTATGTCTTTTAGGTGCCAACCTGAACCAGCATGAAGGTCTACTTTGCCGCAGTGTGTTCAGTGATTGCTGGCGTTGCGGTTGTCATGGGTACATACGTACATGTAGCCTTTACAATGATGTTGCAGGATAGTATAGCCAACTGTTAAACTCGATGAAAGTTATTATAACAGTTTGAAACAAACAGCAAGTGTATTCCTTTCCTCTTGTTTTACAGTTCAATATTACTATATGAAACAGAATCTATCCTACCTGGTGTGAATACATATGGTGTTGAAAATATTTCCCACAAAAATGCTTCAATATATATTCATGTAACTGTCAAATTGTTCCAAATACCTCCTGGTACTCGTTTTGGAAACAAAACGTATGTATGTTCAATTGCACCATCCAACAGACGCAGCATGTCATTGCAACACGCCGGACGCCTGTAGCGTGTTCCCCACTACACCCTGCAGCCAGACTGGCGATCCAGACAGATGTCAGGAAGGATGGTTTGGTCCGTACTGTCAGAAACGTGAGTGTGTTGGTTTCAACAGGTTGCACGTGTATCCAACATTCAATATTATGGTTGTTACAGTTAGGAAACTCCACCACTAGTAATTCATGAAGTAAAACGCGTAGTGATCACATTTACTTAATGTCATTTGTGTTGGTATAGTATTAAATGTGGAATTCTATTGGAATTCACAGTTTGTAAATTTTGTGGTGTTAAATTTCTCTAAAAATGTCTATGACACTTTCACGTAGCTGATCCCCATGACGGTGATCTAACTTTGGTCGCTAATGGCAGAGTTTTGTTTTGTATCAAATAATATTCTCAGTAGGTAATATGTTTAATCTGGAATACTCAACACCTTGCTTTACTGTCCTTTGTCGAGAAACATTTAACTTTTGTCAACTTTTTCTTCATAGCGATATGTTGTAATATTGGCAATGTTATGTAATATTTTTAACTCCCTCACTCACTTTTAAGTAGCTCCATGGCACAAATACGATGTTTTGCCTCGTCTTACCTTATCTTGTATGCATCAAAATGCAATCACTGTAACCAATGTGGTGAACGAACATGGTGCCCACAACTCTTACTCGGTTACAACTGTTCATATCAAGAAGTGTTCCTTCAATTGTTAGAAAATGCGTGGCTCTCTTTTTGACAGAAAATGTTGCCTTGAGGAGACCTTCCATCCAGAGTGCGACATGGTTTGGAGACCATCATTTCACAGCAGACCTTGCAGTAGATGGCAGAGCCACCACAATGTACAAGGAAAACCCACCGACATGTACACATACGGCCGGTGGAACGTTTACACCCCATACTTGGACTGTTTACCTAAATACTTCCAGCACAGACAGGATACAGAACATGAGACTCTATCTACGTGAGAATAGTAAGTGCAGTGCGAACAGATACAGTTTGCATGTAGTGTACAAGGGATGTATGCAGTATGGTTTTTTGTATGGTTAAGGCCCGGGACAGCCTCATTTAAGAAAAGACAATTGAAAATGGTGTGGCTCAACGGTCAACGGGCATGGCTGAGTGTTCGTATGAATGTGGCTCTCCTGACAATGCGCTATTAGCTAATCTTTGTTACAGTAAATAATGGATATCAAATATTGTAATATTCATTATGTAAAATCTAGAAATCCAGTTGAATTGTTCGTGGAGAAAAGTCCAGATCACGCAAACTAGCTGCCTCACGTAGGTACTCAAACACCTTTAACGAATTATTTGTGATTATACAATAATTTCTTTGAATCAGTTAAACTTATTGGTGTGTGTGTGTGTGTGTGTGTGTGTGTGTGTGTGTGTGTGTGTGTGTGTGTGTGTGTGTGTGTGTGTGTGTGTGTGTGTGTGTGTGTGTGTGTGTGTGTGTGTGTGTGTGTGTGTGTGTGTGTGTGTGTGTGTGTGTTTCAAACGCCTAACAACTCTTTCCATTTCATAGCTGTTTTTAAGCAAAATCTACGGCTAGATTTTCCAAAATCAGTATTTTTGCCGCCGTTGCGGCAATGGCATTTTATTTAAAGTTGAAACGTCAGAATAAATTGTATGGAAAATTTCAAAATGCAAAATACCAATCATACAAACCAAAGTAGTTTACATGGAGACGTAAAAAAATACAAATACATTTTTCTTATGAGTAAATTCTAAAATTGCCATTTTCCATAGAATGACCAATTAGTGTGTATCATTTTATCTCAGAACAGATTTTATACATACGAATTAAGATAATACAATCGACAATAAAACCAGAGAATGCAAGATAAAAGAACAAAATAAACATAAAAAGATTAATATTATCATATGTTAACTAAAAACTTCATATGCTAACTAAAGAAACAAAGGACAAGTCACTAAAGCAATAAAATTTAATCCATTGTGACCAGAGGGTGACGTTTATTTGAGAAAAAACGGTATTGATTCCTCTACTCATTGTGGCTTTTGCGGCGATTCGCGGCACCAAGGTTTCTGCTTGAATTGTGGCTTTAGCGGCAATTGGTATTTTTTTTAAATTTGGCTTTCCCGGCGGACACCTACGGTATGTGTCATAGCATTTATTACCAAATGGATTTACCATTCAACGTATTTGCACAAAGTTTGCTAAACCTATTTTCCTCCAGTAACGCGAAATCAGAGCATGTATTATATTGGGTATACATGTATAAGTATGTCGTATATTGGGGCAGGACAAATAAACAAGAGGTTCGGTAGATCCTTTACTGACTATAGTGTGATGCACGTACACTGATGACGTCACATAGTGTCGCAGTGTCCACTGAGAGGAGGTGTGGCACTGTTGTAAACATTACCTTGTCCAGCAACTATATACTACACAGGTACATTATTCCTTCATTTAAAGAATGTACCTGGTTTACGTTTGAGAAACGAACATTTGTATATAATCGGTTAGGTTGTGCTCTGTCATGATTGCACAATGGTGAATTATAGCGCCTATATTTGTCTTATACACTTGGTAACTAAAGACATGACATCACCATTGTCCACAGTGGCAGTCAATTGTTCAGTTGCCCGAATGAGTTGTGGTGCTGCAGTAGTACATTGTTTTAAATATTTGAATAGATACTTCATACATACTGTATTTGTCAGGCAGATTTAGGAAACTGCACATTGGCTTGGTTTACTTGAAAATGAACATCCTTAATTTGATCCGAAGTTAACCAAATGACAGTCTTGGTTTCTCCATGTTTCGACTGAATATGTTATTCCGGTATCTGTAGCCAGTCAGTGACCATAGCCATTCAACACTTTACATTTAACTCTTTGCATTCATTCTGTGAAGGACTGTACAGAAACGTTGGCATGGAGATACTTGTGAGCAGCCAGATGTGCTACAACTGGTCATCAACTGAACATCCTCCTCCTGTAGCTGACGTTACCTGCCGCCAGCCACTAACAGGCAACAACGTCACTATACGGGTGCCGGGTGGCAAGGACATATGCCTTACGTTGTGTGAGGTGCAAATCTTCGGTAAGTATTGGAAACTTGTACATACCATCGTGTATGCCGTTAGCCTTATAATTACATTTAACAGTTATGTACTGAGGTAAAATTGGTGGTGGGTAGCCTGGTTGTTAAAGCGTTCGCTCGTCACGCCTGGTTCGATTCTCCACATTGGTACAATGTCTGAAGCCCACTTCTGTTGTCATGATATTGCTGGAATATTGCTGACAGAACAGAAGAACGCGTATATTTCTTGATGATTGACATCCAGCAGCTGGCGACAGTTACTTCCAACATGGATATATGTGTGTGCGTACGTGCGTGTGTGCATGTGTGCACCATGTGTAGCAAAGAAATCAAGAAACGTGCTAGCAAACTGACGTACATTGTAGTGTGTCTCTGTCGTTTTGCAAACGTTTTCTGGAACCTTTTATCTTATCAGTTTGCAGCGACGGCTGGTTTGGTACAGACTGTGATAAGAAGTGTAAGTGTCCGAAACACAAAGGACTATGTGACAAGATCACAGGAAGATGTCTCGGTGAGGAAGGAGCTTTCAATTCTATGTGAATTTCGTAATGAAGTTACCAAATGTTAAATGAAAGTTTGTGGACATTATCTGAAGCATACATATCAAAAATTGATTCATGTGAAATTTCTTTGTTGCAAGTACATACTGGGAAGTGTATTATGATGAATACACATAAATACTTACGGCCATACTGTAACGTCAATATTCCACTGTTTCAAGGACTTGTTGGCTAGTTAGTAAACAGGAGCTGTCTTAGACCAGGTCTATTACAAACACATTTATGAAATACTGATTACAGTATAAATACCGGTATCAACAGTTTGTCTGGACTTCTCCTATGGCATCAACTGCGCCTCCCAGTGTGGAAACTGCCTGAATGGTGATGCCTGTGACAAGACGACAGGGACCTGTCCTAGAGGATGTGCATCAGGGTGGACTACTGATATGTGCCAGAGTTGTGAGTATATGTACTTTCCTGTACGCGTTCTATATGATCAATAGTAATCAAAACAACAATACGACCTGTAACCTCAACCATTGAAGATGTCATGTTCGTTTCCAAGTTCAACGTGTTACCATTAACCATAGCAAAAGAACGTTTCCGCGCCTCAACGTGGCTTACTATCTGGATGAATTGACCCTTAAGGGAAAATTAATATGCAAATGTAAACACAAAAAAACGAAAAACCAGTTTATTCAGAAAAAGCAGACATGGATAAAATGATTCAGTTTGTAGTGCTTATAGCTATGACGTTAACAAGTCTGGACACTTTCAATATTCTCACATACAATCCTCAAGAAATCATGAGAGTATCAGTAACCTAGTACAGTGTCAATACCTGGTGTTTTCTCCGCAAAGTGCAATAACATTTAAATTATTCTCCAAACAGTAATTAGAACCCTTGCGGGGATGATGTTATTTAGTCTACCTCATTTGAGGAAACCTCAGCAGAAAACCTAATTTGCAGGGAAATACGAATTCAAACGTTCAAGCGAAAATATGAGAATGACCGAGTTGTGAATGATTCATCTTCGTCGTTTCTAATCATCTTATCACTATATGAAAATGGGCTATTTATCAGCAGCAACTGAAGGTGGATCACCATACTAGGGACCATGGAGAATTACAGCACTTTTGCTACAATTACTAGACTGAAAGTAATCTTGAAAGCTTTGGGACTTACGTATTCTCTAAAGAGGACAATGACTTTATAACGCATTAACCCCCTTTGAGGATACAGTCACTGAGAATCTCGGCTGAAAATTTAATCTACTGATTAATTAATGGCATATTTCTATTTATATATCAAGCAATTTCAATTAATTATATTTCTTGCTCAAAGTCAATAAGTAAAAGCAGGTTATCTTTATTTAAGAGAACCTTCATACATGTATATGAAGCTTTGAAATTGTTATGCCTTGTGATGGAAAAAAAATCCACAGGTACGAGTAGAGAATGAAATATTTGATGCTGAATGGTCAAAACAATATGTCGTGGGAAGTCATATAACAGATTAGAATGATCAAACTGTGGAACGCCTTTTAAATGAAGTAGACCATGTCCTTTTAATCGATGGTAAATGACTCTTGGATCTCTCAGTGGTATATTATCTTCAATAGCGAGTAAATGTAACTGGAATGTATTTCAAGAAGATGTGTTAGGTATTGACCATATCTACTGTTTTACATCGTGCTGTATGAATTTCCCTCAGTGGAAATTTCAGAAGGCTAATTGTGCACTTTTTTTCTTGTGTGTGGTATGAATACCCGAGACGTTTTTCTTCTTTGTTGATGGTTAATCACATCTTTATAGCTTGCAGTGACGGTCGCCATGGACACCACTGTCAGTCTGAGTGTGGCCAGTGTAGAGGAAACCTGCCTTGTAACAAGATCAATGGAACATGTCATCAAAGATGTCAGCCAGGGTTTCAAGAACCCTTTTGTAAAGGTGAGATACCTTTCTGATTGGAGTTTTCACTCTTTCAGAAAAATCACAAACTTCTTTTACTGCTCGTATATAACAGCAGGCCTTTTCAATGTATCCTAAAATTAAGTTGGTTAGATGAAAATGTGTTTTGTCTACTCCTCAGAATGCGTTGATGGTATGTACGGGGATGACTGCATGTCACGATGTGGTCAGTGTAAAGATGACCTAACCTGTAATAAGTCCAGTGGAGAATGTCCTGAAGGATGCCAGGGTAACCTCGTGAAGCCCCTGTGTCAAGGTAAGATACAGCAAGCAATGGGGAAATTAGACTGCTTACAAGTTGTGGATAACCTTCTTCACAATTCATATGTATTAAGAATTGTTTGTTCATCCTTGGATATTCATGGAAGAGAACTTTGTAAAGACCTCCGGGGTAACTTGAAAATAATAAGCACATATTTGCATACACAAATGATGTTATGCAGACTGTCCAGCAGCATCAGGACGTTCAAATTGGGAAGTGCCAGTTGCAGCAACACTCGGTTCACTAGTTGTATTGGCCGTCATCGCTCTGTTGACATCCATCATTTACATTACAAGGTAAGACTCACTCTGATAATAATTATTCTAAAGATCTCATCAATTTGAAATGAGGAATCACAGTGTTGGCCAACAATAACAGATTCTGTTATTCTATGCATCATCATACCACTTGTGGTGGTTTCAGTATTATTGTTCATATGCATTTCTCTTTAATATTAATGATATTAACTAATTCCACACATAACTTTTGCTAATTGGATTTACATCACCAAATCGTGAAAAAGTATGCACATATACTTAAAGTAATCTTAGAATGTATCTCCGGTGTGCATTGTACAGTTGGCGATAATTGTATTCATTAATTGAAACTGTTTATTCAAGGGACTTAAGGATTTATCAAAGGACACATAGTTTTTAGTCCTTCTCCAAAAAATGGTATACTGATTAAAAGTGTGTCCAAAATAGACAAGAGCGAAATTGAGATATTTTAGCATGCATTTCGGTGAATTTTCGGCAGCATATTGAAAAGATGTAACAAATCAGTTTTAGGCGTGGTTTTTTTTCTGTCTTGCTTTTCTTTGTTGTTTAACGACCCACTCTGCAATGTTCCCGCTTCCCTGTAAATATTCCGGTCTGGGCCAGACTATCCAGTGATTGGCATCATGAACGTCGATAAGGGATGCGATGACATGTATCACCCAAATCAGCAAGCTTGACCACCTATGTTAGTTGTCTCTTAAAAGAAGTATGAGTTGCAGAAGACTAATTCGAACTAACACAAAGCTTCCTGGTTGGACCACCATACAGCTGGAATATTGCTGAGTGCGGCGTAAAACTAAACTCACTAAACTCACTTTCGTGGTTGGCATTGTTTTTAATATTGTATATTTCAGAATGAAGAAACAACTAGCTGCTTTACAAAAGAAGCCTGAAAATGACTACATGTCTCTAGATGAGACGACCAGGGATCCAGTTGTTGAAAGCATATATGAAAACACTGACAACAACGTCCTCTAGACCATTAGGGTTCAAGTTGATCATATAAAAAAAAGTGGCAAAACCAATTCCATAATAGCAACAAGAAATATGTGCCCAAGGCAGGGTCCATTGGACGATTCAGACTTTCTAATGATCATCTGTGTCTGAATCACAATTAAATTGTGATCATAATAGGGTAAATCCAACGTTCTATTCCACTCAATTATGTTTATGTATTCGCTTGTGCAACGTATTATTTCACTCATATATGCATCTGTGAGTCAGTGAGTTAAAATGTAACGTCACCTCTGCAATATTTCAACCATACAGTGACGACAAAAGTTTTGCATACACAATAATTATAAGTTGTAAAATTATCAGTCATCAAATTTTAAGGACTGTGAAATAACTAGAGTATCACAGATGGTGTTGAAAACTAGCATATAATACTTAACTAGTTTTTAACGAAGATAATACAATATAAAAACAGGTTATCGACCGCCAACAACTGAAGGTAGATAACCACACTCGGAACTTATGCATATGTATTCGCCAGTGCATTGGGTTTTTCACTCAATAATGTATATGTATGCGCTAGTCCATTGTTTATTTCACTCATTTAAGTATATATGCGTTCGCTAATGCAACGTTTTGTTCGACTCTAATCCGTGTATGTGTTCGCTAGTGCACTGTTCTATTCTACTCATTTATGTGTATGTATTCGCTAGTGCACTGTTTTATTCCACTCAATCATGTTTATGTATTCGCTAGTGCAACGGTTTTTTTTCACTTAGTTAAGTACATATATGTATTCGCTTATGCAATGTTTTATTCCACGCCTTTATGTACATGTATTCGCTACTGCTCAAGTCTCGTGTACATGCTTATGCTGTAAGCATTAAGCCTACTTTGTAATACAATCTTAACAATTTGTCATTTACCTGATTTTTGGATTAATGTACATATTGTGTGACGTCTTATTTGATATTACATTGGACCAATAGGTACACTCATTCACAAGCTTATGTCCTTAAATTAAACTACAATATATACACATTTCAGTATACGTCTATGCTGTAGAGTATGCAGACACAACAGTGAGTGAGTGAATGAGTGAGTTTAGTTTTACACCGCACTCAGCAATATTCCAGCTATATGGCGGCGGTCTGTAAATAATCCAGTCTGGACCAGACATTCCAGTGATCAACAGCATGATCATCGACCTGCGCAATTGGGAACCGATGACATGTGCCAACCAAGCCAGCGAGCCTGATCACCCGATCCCGTTAGTCGCCTCTTACGACAAGCATTGGTTACTGAAGGTTCATTCTAACCAGACCAGCACACCATCACAGGTACCAAACAGAACAGCAGATGGCGACAATATCGATTTCATAAAATGCAATTATAACAACTACAGCCACCATAACAACAATAAAAGTATTTACACGGATGAATGAAAGGCGCGTTTGGGGATCATCAGTCACCGTTGCTGATAATAGCACTTTAACTGCCCGAGAATCGGTTTTCCGCATTTATTGGACTTGCAAACATGTAAAGAGAACAAGTTTATCTTTAATGTATACATTTTGCCTTGTTTACAGTTAAGGAAGCTGTAATAAAGTTACTTTCTTTTAAAAGGAGACGATCCACCGCAATGGTTCCACTGCATCAAGTAACATTAAGCACATTTTCCTTGAATTTGCTGATTTTTTACTTGTCAATATTTGTTTGTGATAATCTTACCTTTTCAGAACATTTTCTAACCACTTGATTTTAGCATATTTAATGGTGGAGTCTACTAATGCCTACAGTGAATAATGCCTACAGTGTTAAATAAACAACTTTACGCACCAGTGCTGCTGATTGCACCTGCCTTCAACCTTTCAATAAAGTGGCATGGTCCTATTTCAAAGTGCACTAATGCCTACAGTATATAGAAAACAGTAACTTTCTATGTTGAGAGACATTTTATTTGGTCATTCATATACATATGTACATTCATATACATATCTTTCACATTGTTGTCATATTTTTCTTAATTTTCTTAAACTTTATTCATATCTTTCACATAGTAGTTTGTTTTGAGATAAATAAATTTACATAAATAAACATAATCATTTATTTGGATTAAAATGTAATTAAAACTTAATTTGATTCATGATTATATATACATATATACATCTTTCACACAGTCAACTACCACATTCATTAATAAAGTCATTGTGGTAACCAAAAGTAATTTACATGTATACACACAGTTTCACACATTCATCAACATAGTCATTTGGTTTTCAAGCTAGCTTGATCAAATATCCTGCAGCAGTCAGGAATTCCAGGGGTGTCTTGATACCAGATGTCAGCTGGGCCTTCAGACGAGTGAGTCTCTGGTCAATTTCTGTGTACGTCCTCTTGCGGGGGTGGGGACGGGCGCCATGAGCCATCTGCACCAGCTTATTTCTCTCCGCTTTCTCCAGCTTCTGCAGAACCTTCACAAGAGCGAAAATGTTCGGGTGGGCTCTCTGGACGGTCTTGTTGAGATGCGAATGCCAACCCTCGAGATGATTGTTCGTCCTTGGGCCGCTGGTGTCGTGGTGATTCCATAGTCCGGCTCGGAACCGTGCATGGTCGTCTACCCAGGTGCTGGTGATGTAGTCCTGGAACTCATCCTTCTGTCCAATGGCAGGGGCGTCGTCCATGACCTCTATCCAGGCATTTTGTACCATGGCCACTGGGAGGAGGGGAGTGCTGCTGCTCGTCGGACCCATCTGTGGACCTCAGGATCCTGCTGGTAGGCTTCGCTGAAGCCGAGGTTCTGTACTTTCCTCCAGAGAGCCTGGCTGTAGTGGAAATAGCATCCACGGACGTCGCAGTTGGGGAAGACGGTCTCAACAGCGTTGATGGCAGCGATTTCGAAATCCGTCTGGATGACATCAGGCTGAAGGGGCGATCCCGTTGTCTGCTGGATCTTGTCGTTCAGGAGACGTAGCAGGCGTTCATAGGTGCGGCGTTGACGATTCGGCAGTAGACAGAAGACCAACTGGGTCATCTTCCCTCCGACTAGGCCATGGATGACGTACAGCTGATCCCAGAGAGGAGGACAGGAGTAGAAGGTGCCGTCCATGTAGAGGGTGTCCACTTCTTGCAGGAGGGTCAGGCGGTCACTTGTGGCGAAGCAGAGAATCTTGTCATCATCACCGTCATCAATGCAGAGGAAGGGCAGTCCATCTGTAGTCTCCTTGAAGAAGTCGGGTAGATTCACCTCGCTGAGCGTCTGGGGAAGTGGCGGCATCATCTTCCGTCTCTGCTTGTAGAGTCCACTCTTCATAGAATGGAACGACTTGACTGTTGCTGCTTCACCTCGGTCAAGTCGGGAAATCTCCTCATCGTAGATCACCTGAACTGGCGTCGTCTCAGTCTGTACCCGCTGCCTCAGGGAACTGGCAATCTTCAGGGCTACCTGGTCTTCTTGTGGGTGGTTGTGTGGGGTCTGATTCCGAACAAACTGTCCGACTGTCGTACACTTGCCAAAGCAGCCACCTTGAACACACTTCCAGTGTACACACGTCTGTCGCCTGTTGTTGAGTCTGTAGCGGTATCCCTCCAAGAGTACCTGCTGTCCTCCTTTCTGTGATGTGAAGTATTCGACTTTCTTGGGATTTGCCATGATTTGCAATGAAGATTTGTATCACAAGCATTTTAAAGCAATACATTTCCTTCTCCCTTTAATAATCTCTCAATTAATTACTCTATTCTTCAATTTTAAAGCAATACATTTCCTTCTCCCTTTAATAATCTCTCTATTAATTACTTTACTCTTCAATTTCCTTCTCGTGTGAGAACTAAATGCGTATGGAATTATCAAAACATAAGCTAGCTAACGATTTAATACTCTTGATCTTACTCTTTACTCTCCTTGCTGGCCTCCCCTAATCCCTTTGTAGGCAATAGTGCACACTAAGTGGAACAATCTACTTGTGTGCAGGTAAGCGTATCGCTGTCACTGTCACTGCAAACGTTGTAGCTATTATTCCCTGTAGGCATTATTCACTGTAGGCATTAGTAGACCTGATATTTTTGCGATTGTACTGCAATTAAACCAAATCAGAAAAGGTAATGACATTTATCTATTTTTGTTTCTTGTTTATTTCACTTTTTCTTTTCCTACCGTATTTATACATTTACGTCCGTGCCGTTCCTTGACAGGATCATATAATCTTGGTAGCACCATGTTATAAACTTGGCATCTTGATCCGATGGACTTGGTATCAAGATCAGAAGTCTATGGAAATGAAGTTCATGTATTTTGCCCGATTTCGAGAACAATCGATACAGGGTACGTGTTTCGCCATGTGTGGGTCTTTCCTCAAAAAGCATCACTTCAAATCATTAAGTAACTCGTGCATTCTTAAGTTCATTCTGTCTACACGTTTACTGCAGTTGAAATGAAATGACATGGCACGTGGTATCATCTACATGTCTACAACATGCATATCACACTTTAAGCAAGAACACATGTATAATGTTGTAGTTATTACATCTCGTCGCCAAAACAAGTACAATCTGCTACTGATTGAAGCCGGCTCGAATATCAATGCAACTGCAAGGACTGAAAAGTTACTCCCCTTCTTTACACGAATACACACATCTTCTGTGACACTAACATAGTTAACGTCTATTGGACAGATGTATCTTATGTTTAGTTAAGTTCCAGATGGTAGATGTCACGGCTGAGTTAAAAGTTCGAGCTGTACGTGTAATTGAACTCGGAGCTTCGGACAGATGTGAGAAATTAGCATGTTCACCATCGGCCTAAAGACAAACGTTATTGGGACGTACAGACAGAGAATAAATGTTAACCAAATACTGCCGCAAATGAAATGGTATTACAACGGAAGTGTGTTACGGTTGGGTAACGACTAACCAATCAAACACGATCATAGCATGTTCAATAGGTGACAAATCAGGTTAACTTGCGGACCAACATTAACATTGTTCTGGTTATTAATGCACAATTCGAGCAAAGTGTGTCCAGGCGTTATCTTGTTGAAACATCACTCCATGGCCGACCTTTTTATGTAAACAGTCATTTGTAACATCTCGTCTCGGAACCTTGAACTTTCCCTCAATCAGTTCCGTTGCCGTCTTTGCTACTGCAGTTATCCATACCAGATCACCCACCTCCCAATCAGCCCCCTTTCCAGAATACACGGCCCGACGTGACGCCCACCTTAGCGCCTGGAAACACATGTCCTGCCGTCAGTTCAGTGAAGAAGGAAACGTGTCTCATATGAGAAGATAACTCTTTTCCATTTGCGTGCACCCCATCGCAAGGGTTGTTGTTGTTTCTTGTTTGGGAATTTTTTTGTTTTGTTTGTTTGTTTTTTTATTTTTGCTTTTTTTACAAAAAACATTTGTGTGTTTTTTCTTTTTGTTCTTCTAGGGGCCTCGATGTTCTGTCATGAGAATTGGCAATCCGGCTGTGCCTCTTGCACGGATGCTGTGCACGCGTAAACGTCATCCAAGTGTTCTCCTATGTACACCTCTGTTGTCATGTATCATACCGTCTGTAAGGGTTGCTGACTGGAACCTGTGAGAAGATTTGTTGTTCGAATCCATAAGTCTTGACAAAATGACTGGTAAGTGTCCTGGAGGATGTGACGTTGGATGGATTAATGACGGCGAAGCAGTGGTAACATATAGTGTCCACTCCAAAGAAGAACGAAAAGTTTGTATCAACGTTACAGCTAAGATTGTCCATGTACACCAAATGTATTCCAATGGTGGACTTCCTCGAGAACTGTCAACGGCTGAAAGGACAATACCCGACTAATTTACTAATATCCTAGGTCAAAGTCATGAGAGTATCAAGGCTACGAGTCATGCTTGTTTGTTTGTTCGTTTGCTTGTTTGAACCCTCAGCAATATTTCAGGAATATTGCTAAAAGCAGCAAGATGCCAAACTCACTCACTCGCTAGTCTTGCTTGACAAATGATTATCAATGCGAATATACTATCCCAAAAAAGAAACGCATGGGCGTTTTGTATTTTTAAAAGCCTATTAATTACGTACAAGAGAAAAATCTTTACCTGAATATGTTGATTTTGATGAGATTTCTTACAAGAATTAAAAACTCATCGCCACAACGCAAAAACAACCACCTTCCAGTTGAAATTGTGCAGCAAAGAGCATGCACTGTCTGGCTATAAACATCCAGATTACTTTCTGAAATCGGCATTTGTTTTGAAGGAGTTTCAAGATCAAATCACTACGCCACGTCTTGACGCTGCGACAAGGAGCATCGCCATTGAAATAATGCACGCTGGTGATTATCAATCCTCTGTTGCCAGGCGTCTGAATGTTAGTCTGAGCATTATACCAGGGCTTGCAGCTCGTTACAACCAAACAGGTATAACAAATGACCGTCCCCGTACCGGCAGAAATCGAGTCACCACTGTAGCCCAAGATCGGTACATCCGGGTACTAGATTTGTGTGATCGTATTGCCATGGGTGAGAGCACAGCAGCCTGAGTTGAGAGAGATTGGAGTGAGTGAATGAATTAATATTTTAACGTCACATCGGCAATATCTCAGCCATATCGTGACGAGAACATATTTGACATTGAAATAGAATATATGTATATGATAAAAACCTGTCTACGAAGGACAGTAAACCAACTAGAATATCACAATTACAACTTAAACTAGTGTGGAAATGTAAAACCTAATAGCACTATTTGGACAATACATTATAAGAACTGGCTATAGATCGCCAACAACTGAAGGTAGATCACCAAATTAGGGACCATGAGGACTTACATTACATTTGCTACCTGCATGGACCCTAGTTGGATTTATATCATCCCTTCAGCCGCTGGCGATTGAAGTCAAATTTAGCCAAAATTAAAATGATAAGAATACTACATTTAAAACAACTGGAAAAGTTAAATTTCCTTTCAATGTTTCGGGACTTAGGAGGACAATAATTTTACAATACGTCAACCCCCTGTGAGGGTACAGCCACTAACAATCTCAGTAACTAATCTAAACTACCAATAATAAAATTATTTTAAAATATGTATCTATTTACAAATCAGTTAACAAGTTTAATTCTTTTAAAAATGCAATAATTAAATGAAAACTTATATTAGTAAAAAGATCCTTCATGGTTCGTGATTTGAAATAGTTATCCCTTGTGATGGAATATTCAACACAGTCAAGCAAGACATGCTTGACTGAGATTCTTTCATCACAAGCGATATAAAACGGAGGATCCTCACCTTTTAATGGGTACTCATGAGTATATCTTGTGTGGCCAATGCGACATCGTCGTATGATGACCTGTTCAAATCTGGACTGACAACCCAAGAAGGTGTAACCGATAGTTGGTTTTATTGCATGTAATTTGTTGATACCTACTTGGGTGTCCCAATTCTTTTGCATCAGATCACGGATATAAGATCTAATAGCAGCTTTGTAATCAGAGTATAGCATCAGAAGTGGTGTCACAGATTTGTTGAGTGCTGCCTTGGCAGCAAGATCAGCCATTATATTCCCAGAAATGCCAACGTGGCTGGGTAACCAACAAAAGACGATGTCGCATTGGTCAGTAGCAAGCTCATTATACAATTCAATAATTTCTAATAAAAGTGGATGTTTACAAGAAATATTTTTAATAGCCTGAAGACACGAAAGAGAATCGGAAAATATTATGTATTGTTTATATTTACGGTGTTTATTAATATATTTAAGAGCTGTTAATATGGCGTTAGCTTCTGCTGTGAAAATAGAGCTGTTATTTGGTAGTCGAGAAGATATTGTTCGGGATCCAATGACAGTGGCACATGCCACGGCGCCACTATCCTTAGACCCATCTGTAAATAAGGATTTGTATGTATCATATCTTGTTTATATTGTAATTCATTAGTTACAGATTTTTTAAACTTTGTCAGAGTTAGGTCAACTTCAGGCCTCACCAGTTGCCAAGGATGAGAAGAAAGTAGACGGGAAGAAGATATATATATCCCAGCTCAATGCCGGCAGCAGAAATGAATGGTTTAATTCTTAGCCCAAGAGGCGGAACAAGAGAAGAGTTTTGGTTGTATAAATCCTCATAGAGGGGATTGAAGATAAAGTTATATGCAGGGTTAGACTGGTTGGAATATAGTTTTGTAATATATTGTAAAGATAGTTTTACACGGCGTTGTGTAAGAGATGGCTCATCAGCCTCAACATAGATACTATCAATAGGAGAGGTTCTAAAGGACCCAAGACAAAGTCTTAGGCCTTGGTGGTGGACAGAATCAAATAGTTTTAGGTTGCTTTTGCAGGCTCCACCATATACGATGGAGCCATAATCAAGTTTCGAGCGGACCAATGATCGATATAGGTGGAGAAGGGTAGCTTGATCCCCTCCCCACTTTGAATTAGACACGACTGTCAACAAGTCAAGTGCCTTCAGGCATTTATTCTTTAATATGTGGTAAGGAAGTCAGATGAGAGTCAAAAATAAGTCCTAAAAACTTGGCCTCCTTGACAACGTTGATGGGTGTGCCATTTAAAAACAGGTCCGGGTCTTTGTGCCGTTTATATTTTCTACAGAAATGCATACTATTTGTTTTGGATTTAGAAAATTTAAACCGTTGTCAAGACACCATTTATGAATTTTATTGAGACACAACTGCAATTGCCGTTCAATAGTATGCATATTTTTACCACGACAAGAAACATTAAAATCATCCACGAAAAGTGATCCATCGACTGAATCATTTAAAACCCTTTCAAGGCTGTTTATTTTAATACTAAATAATGTCACAGACAAAATACTGCCTTGTTGGACATCCTGATCCTGATTATAATGATCAGACAGGGTAGAGCCCACTCGGACTTGAAATTGTCTGTCAGTTAAAAACTGAGATATAAAATGAGGTAAACGACCTCTCAAACCAAAGTCATGTAAATCGTTTAAAATACCATGTTTCCATGATGTATCGTAAGCTTTTTCCAGGTCGAAAAAGATTGATACAGCATGTTGGTTATTTACAATGGAACTTTTAACAAATGATTCTAAGCGAACCAAATTGTCAATAGTACTCCTATTCTTTCGAAAACCACACTGAATGTTCGTGATAAGATTATTGGTTTCTAAAAACCATACCAGTCGATTATTGACCATGCGTTCCATGGTTTTACAAACGCAGCCTGTCAATGAAATTGGTCTATAGTTAGATGGATCAGTATGATCCCGGCCAGGCTTAGGTATAGGGACAGCAAGGGCATTACGCCATGAAGGAGGAAAATGTCCAGTTGTCCAAATAGTATCAAAAATACGGAAAAGTGTTTCAAGACATGAGTTGGGTAAATGCTTTTAAAAGCTGATAGTGGATATTATCAGCTCCTGTTGCTGTATCATGTGCTTGTACTAAGGCAGTATTAAGCTCATGTAGTAAAAACACTTCATTGTAGTCTTCACCATTGTCAGAATTAAAATTAATTTTCATTTTTTCTTGTTGATTTTTATATTTCTGAAATTGAGGATTATAATTTGATGATGAAGAATGTGCAGCTAAAGTTTCACCCAACATATTGGCAATGTTAGATTTATTAGTTATTATATTGAGTCCATCCTTCAGGTGATGAACACTAGATTTGGTACCTTTACCATTGATATCATGTTCCATACCTTCGTCATAGGTGTACGGGAATTTATCTTTGATACAAAGTTCTTCCAAGACTGTCGCCTATGTTACTTAAAAGTACGCCGAGCCTTGGCACTACTTATTTTAACATCATTTAAATTGTGAACTGTAGGATGACGGCGAAAGTATTTCTCTGCCTTCTTCTACACTTCCTGGCCTTTTTGCAATCATCAGTAAACCATGCTTTACGAATGTGTGGTGTCGCGTAGGACTTAGGAATAGTTTCATCAGCTATTTGATTCAGTTTATCCGAGAATAACTGAATAGGATCCATATCATTGACAAAATAGACAGATTTTACTTCGTCAGTACAGAGTGTCTTAAATAAAGGCCAGTTAGCCTTATTAAAATTCCAGCTCGTTGCAGGCGGCTCATCAGTCGGATTTATTGCAGAGAGAATTGTGGGGAAATGGTCGCTTCTACAAAGATCATCATGGACCGACCATTCAAACTCATTATAAATATTTGGATCTGAGATCGATAAATCTAGTTCAGAATATGTTCACGTACCGGGATGTAAATATGTGGATGATCCATTATTAAATATGCATAAATTATTATCTCCAATGAAGTCTTCAAGGATTCCTCCCCCTAGCATTGGCATTAATACTTCCCCATAGAGGGTTATGCCCATTTAGATCACCCATGATGATACAGGGTTTAGGGAGCTGGTCAATAAGATTCTGAAGATCGGGCTGCTGAAGGGGAGAAGATGGAGAAATATACAAGGAGCAAAGAGTAAAAGCTATGTGTAAAGACAAACGAACTGCCACAGCTTGAAGTTTGCATTTTAGAGGGACAGGGCTATGGATGACACCCTGCCTCACCAAAATAGAAGCGCCACCTGTAGCTTTATTTCCTGGAGGTGAAAACTAATGATATGAATGGTACTGGCGAATATCGATTTTATCTTCATCTTTTGGATATGTTTCCTGTAAACTAAAAGCCGATGGTTTGAAATCTTGTGATAACAATTGTAGATCAGAAAAATTGTTCCTAAGTCCTCTACAATTCCATTGTATTAAATTAATAGATCTGCTCATGGGGGTTCGATTGGAGATCGAGAGCGCGGAGAAGTGCCACTCCTACAAGCTGTTTGGGAAGGAGTGATCTCCATGTCAAGTGATTCAGACAAATTGTGAACCAGCACAGGTGGTGCTGAAGGGGAAGATTCTTCCAAATGTTGAAGAGCCTTCGTCTTTCTTCTCATTTTTTTCTTTTCTGTAGCAGTAAGGTTAACGTCATTCTGTGTAATTGCTGGTGAGGATACGGTATCGGTTCTTGGCTCTATACTGGATTCTTCAGTTTGAGAAGCTGAAGAGATGTTACCCGGTAACGATTGTTTTCTGATTTCCTCAAGTATTTGCTGCTTGTCATTTACCCAAGATATATCCGTTTGGCAGGATGTAGAAACTGTTACAGGTTTGGTAACCAATACTTGAGCAGGAGAAGAAACTGCAGCTGAATAGGTAAGAGAGGTATTCAGGTTTGACTGAACTAATTTCTTTGCATCAAAATACGACATGTGTTTTGTGCGTTTGAGTTTCATTATTTTGGACTCAATTTCGAAAGATGGGCAAGATTTTGATGATGCCATATGGTCACCATTGCAGTTGGCACACTTCATGTCATTTGTGCAGTCAGTGCTCGCATGAGCCCCACTGCAACGGGAACATTTTGTTTTGCCATGGCAGGACTTAGCACCATGTCCAAATTTTTTACACTGAAAACAACGGAGGGGATTCGGTACATATACCTCCACTCCGATGTTGCAGTAGCCAGCTTTAATTGATTTTGGAAGAGTCGTCATTCCAAAAGTAAACAGATACGTATTTGTGTTCACAGTGCCTGAATCTTGTTTCCTTGTAAAGCGTTTGACAGCAGTGACCCCTTGATCTTTCAATTCATCTGCAATCTCTTCTTCTGACATATCAGACAAAGAGCGTGACCAATCTCTGACGATGCCTCTACAGGAGTTCAATGTCCTGTGTGCTGAAACAACAACCTGTGTGTTAACAAACTGCCGTAAACCAAGCAGATTTACAGATTGTTGCCTCCGAACACATTCCACTAAAAGTGAACCAAATCTGAGGCGAGTGGCATTTTTAACCTCTCCACAGACACCTTGGATGCCTTTGGAGACGGCAAAAGGGTTAAGTTTGAAAGGACTTCCATCCGCAGCTGCAATAACCAAGTATTCTGGCCAGAAATCACCAGACTGAGGTACTTCTTCATCCTCAGAAGAAGAAAGATGTCTTCTTTTATTTCTTTTAACTGAACCAGAGAGGGAGTTGTGAGCCATGGTATAGTGATGTGTTTCATCAACCCTGCCCCACACCCGCCATCGAGTGTCAACATGGCCGATGTTGCAGTGGAAACCATCCTGCAACACCAGGGCTACAAGGGTGATATACTCCAGAAATACAGACGTGAATAGCTAAGAAATCTGAAAGACGAAATGCTAGGCTGGTTCGACTTAGAAATGTCCTGAGAAATTCAGAATTCAGAGGTCCAATATCACCAGTGAGTGAGTGAGTTTAGTTTTACGCCGCACTCAGCAAAGTCTGGACCAGACAATCCAGTGATCAACAGCATGAGCATCGATCTGCGCAATTGGGAACCGATGACATGTGTCAACCAAGTCAGCGAGCCTGACAGATTGACCCATGAGCCACCGCCTTCTGGGCATACGATTCTAGGCAAATTGAAAATTTTGAATTTTAAATCAATACAAATTCAGTGAATTAATTTCACCAGTACCCTAAACAAGATCATTTAGAGAAATAAGATTTGTGCAATATGAAATAGAATGCACAGGGCCTGGCGTGACCAGCTGATTGGTTGAACAGGGCCCATTCAACCACCCGCCTAGGTGAAGTAAGTGGTGTGTTGGGCAACAGGAACACCTGGTCCTGGTTCCAGTGCCCTCAACCACCAGACTCCCGTCCTCCACCGAAACAGGGGCACAACCCACGGCAAACAGGTTGGTGGACCAAATATATCCCCGGGTCCACAACGGGGGTTAAAGAGCGCTAAGCATTACCCAGCACCCACCACGAGGAGGTGGCTCTTCACGGGTGCCAAGAGAGCCAGGAGACCCGACGTCGGGACCGTGCTACGTCGTCACCATCCCGTTCAACGTCCCCGTTATCTACAAATATCCACTTGATTGTATAGACATTACCTTCTTCTAAACTGATGTAAAAACTCAGGCACTGAATTCTATTTGTGGACGAGTTATACATGTTTGAAAATACAACATTTTTGCAACAGATTTCTGACCTATGCGTTTCTTTTTGGGGACAGTATACTACGTACGGCTGCATACTGTGTTCATGGGCCACCTTTGCGGATGTTAAATATGTATCTGAACTTCGACAACGCTTGGTTGGTTGATGTGTAATTTAACGCTGCACTAAGCAATAGTCCAGCTATATGGCGGGGGTCTTTAAATCATCGAGTCTGGACCAGACTACCCAGCCATCAACTGCATGAGCATCGATCCGAAATTCGGATACGATAAAGTCAACCAAGTCAGAAGGCCTGACCTTCCGATCCCTTCAGTCGCCTCATACGACAGGCATGGGTTGCTGAAGATCAATACCTACCCAGATCTTCACGGGTCACCTGGACTGTGAACCTGAACACTACAGGTTTAACACAGTTATGAGTATGAGTCACGCCTGCGAGTACATATACACATGAACTCGGAACTAGGTGGTGATGTTAAAACTTGAAAGAAAGGGTCTAGTGTGTTGAATTGATAATTCGTTGTTATTCTTATTACTGGAACAGTGATTCAGAATTTTCTATTTTACCCTGAAAGCCTGACAAACTGATCACTATGAATGTTCCTACAAAGTCACATATGTGTCGGCATGTTACACGTGTTGTGGGTGGAGCATATTATACTTGTTACAGACTACTTAATGTGAATATAACTAACAAACGGTGTGTGGTGTGGTGTGGTGTGGTGCGTGGTGTGTGTGGTGTGGCGTGCGTTGCGTGGCGTGGCATGGTGTGGCGTAGCGTTGTGTGATATGGCGTGGCGTGGCGTGATATGGTGTGGCGTTGCGTGGCGTGGCGTGGCGATGTGCTGTGTTGTGTCTTAAGGCGCTGATGGGGGTGGGGGTACAAACAAGATACAGTGTTTATGAACATATTTAAAATAATATTTTTTCCCACGTCTGTATCTTGTGTTACTATGGAGACCAGAGTTCGACAGAGCACAGAAGTGAACCGTAGTGCATTACACGTACCAAAGCATTTAGGAATTGTCATTTGTACAGAAAGTGTATGATTGCCTTGCTTGTCAACTGATTACACGCCAGACCTGAGACAAGTTAGATGACTCAATAACGTCTTTCCTGCGTTTCAATAATTTCGCTTCCTGGTAGCCCAGACATGTATTGTATCCACAAAGGCAGCTGTGAAGTGGTGAAGTGTGAGGTGAGTAGTACACAGACATAGTTTTGCTTTAATCCGTAGAGTGTGTATGAGAAAAGAACGTCTCCTGATTGTGTCTGTGTGTCGGTGGTCAGATCGTATATGTGAGTATATCCAGCTATTGTCCTGTTACATACATATTGCTTGATACTGAGCACACACGGTTACGTTACGTTATACGGCAATATATTAAGAAATGTTGGCGTATTGGGATCAACAAATTACGAACAAGCTACATGATATTCAGTCGGCTGGTCTTTTCCTTTGAAAGGGCGAAGATGCCCCTCTGTGTGTATGTGCCTTGTCAATCCCAGTTAACCATAAAACACATACGTTTAGACTGTGTGGATACTGCAATTGCATTAAAACAACTGTTTACACAAGTTTCTTGTCATGTGATTTTATCATTTCTAAAAGAAACAAGTGTTTATGAGTAGATACAGGTTGTAGCAAAATTGTCTAGGTTTTTGCTTTATCTTTGATATCTTTTCTTTTAAATTGTCTTTGAGATCATCAGTTTCAGTGCTGAGGTACATGAGCACATGTTGGAATTCATTCATTTATTCATACACGCTGTTACCCGTGCATTCCAACATTGCTTATTATGAACAACACCAATCGCAGTCTATGTAAATACGCCCTTGAAATTATACGTTATGGTCTTTGATGTAATGGTGAAACTTTGATTGAAAATCTAATTTGCAAGCAAAGCAGTTTTGACTGCAAAGTATAATACATAATCAACAAGCAAAGGATAAAAGTAAAAGAAGAAGAAGAAGTTTATTCAGTATTTGAGGCCACATGGCCAAGAGTACAAACATATAAGAACAATATTGTGCGGATGGACAGACAAAAGCAATGTAATTAGTTCATTTTCATACAGGCAAGTTACGCTTTAGAAATAATGCTATTGACTTCAATAGATGTGCATTTGTTGTTGTTAAAAGTTGTTTAAATTTTAATCTTGATGGGAACGTATGGTAATAACTAGGTAAGTACAGTTTTCTTTGTACAGAATAGAATGGACACACAAGTAAAAAATGAAATTCATCCTGTGTAACATTAAAATCACATTTGTCACATATCAATACATTGAAATTTATATTACTATTATAACGTTGTTGTTGAACATTCAACCTATGGCTTAAACAGCGGAATTTGCATAAAATGCGTATAAGGTCCTGGTTATGACAGAGTTCCAATATGTATTTTTCAGGTTCGAGGGCGGACTTGATTGCTCCATAGTCTTTTAGAAAAGATGATGTTATCCAAGAGTGACAATTTTGAATTTCAATATCTTGACATCTTTGTCTAAATTCACTTATAAACGTTTCTATATTCCCACATTCCTGTGTAATCCAAACGTAAGAAATCCAGTTCGGAATAAAAGTAGACGCACATGCGTAACCCAGTTGCAGCTGCCACTATCGTCTTGCAACTTTAACATTTCATAACATGATTTGGGATGGCGATTATTGTCCATATGTAATATTCTGCACCAATATTTGATACATCTGCCGTAATATTTAAAAAGAAACATTGGGTTTTCTCAATGTGAGGACGATATGAATGCCCCAAGATTTCACTACCGTACAATAATATTGGGGATATCTTACTATCAAATATTGCTGAAGCAACTTTCAAAGACATATGTGGAAGATCTTTAAAGATTTTTAATATAGGGAACGAGGCTTTTTTGGCTTGAAGACTTAGTGTTTCACATGTCCTCGACCATATCAATTTTGTGGTAAAAACAACACCAGATATTTATAGTGTGATACAACATTCATTTAGTTTCCATTATAGAACCATTTTTCTGATTTCTTAAGATATCCACCATTTCTAAATACTACTATACAAGATTTGTCAAGATTAACTTCTAAACCCCATTTTGAGCAAAAACGATACAATGTATCAAGTTTTCTTTGTAAACCAATAACAGTGTCATCAAGTAAGGTAACATCATCTGCAAAAAGCAGTAATAGAATATCATTTAAACCATCTTTGACAAATATTCCTCTTAATCCACAGTTATTCATTTCATCCACAAGCTCGTTGATAAAAAGTATAAACAGAGCTGGGCTAAGCATGCAACCTTGCTTTACCCCAGACGATGTGTTAAAGATTTCAGATCTTTTATTTCCAACTTTAACACAAGCTGATACCTTGTCATACATATCTTTCAGCAACTTGAACATTTTACCATGGACACCTTTGGCGAGGAGTACATATAAAAGCTTATTTCTATTTACAAAATCAAAGGCTTTTCTAAAGTCAATAAAAGCTGCATAAAATCGATGTTTGGGTTTTCTTAGATATTTTTGGCATCGAAGGACAAATATGATATCGACTGTTGAATAGTCAGCTCTAAATCCTGCTTGACACTCATGTAAAATCTCATGCAATTCCATCCAGATACGAATTCTGGAGTCAAGGATAGAAGTGAAAATTTACCCATCACATTCATGAATGATATGCCACGATAATTATTGGGGTCATGCTTATTACCTTTCTTATACAATGGTATAATCATACCGATGTTCCAGTTGTCTGGAAATACACCAGTGTCTAATACAGCGTGAAACAGTAATTCTAAGTATGGAATAATGAAATTTGCATTTTTTAAAAACTCAGGTGGTATTCCGTCAGTGCCCGGGGATTTGCCGGTCTTAAGGGATTTGATAGCCTGTTCTATTTCATTTTTAGTTATTGGGTCTGATAAAAAGTCTTCGTTGTCACAGTCTGAACAGTTATGACTTGATATATATTCACGAGCGGTTTCATCAAAACCTTCGTCATTTACACTGGTTGCAGGATTAAGTAATTTCTTGAAATATGTAACCCATTTACAAATGG